CTTGGTACCAGAGAGGCTACATAAGATCTGTCCAAGTTCTCCCAGCATGTGCTGGAGATGTGACAAGGCAGTGGGGTCAATGATCCATATTTGGTGGACTTGCCCCATGATCCGAAATTTCTGGAACAAAGTGACTAAACTCATAGCAGACGTCATACAAACCCAAGTGGCCCCTAGGCCCGAGATATATTTACGATTCATACTGCCTGACAAACTGCCCAAAAACCACTTAACGCTTCTGTACCATACACTTGTCTCAGCAAACCTTCTAGTAGCTAGACAGTGAAAATCCACGACGCCACCAAATTTCACCCATCTAATGCACCAAATCACACTTAACTGAATGTATGAGACCATCTACCGACACCAATTTGGACGTAAACTGGTGCTTGCGAAGGCCAAAGAGATATGGGACAAGTTTGTTAAGAACGGAACATAATCAAACTCATAATGTGAAAATAAATAAATAAAAATGTCCAACTATTAAGAGATATAGCCCTATATAACATTACTATGGCCAACACCGGAATGACTCAGTTGACTGACGAAGCAGTGACGTTACAGAGGCAGACGGTGGGGACCCCTGAGATTCTAGCCTATACAAACTGCACCGCACGCTCCTCCTGGCAACCCCCACTCCCCCATTCTCTCCCTAGATCCCTCTTACTTCATCTCTCTATCCCCCTGCTTTCCGTCAATTCCTTGGGACAACTGTTCCTGCTTTCTTTCTTTCTCACATCCTGTTGTTTAAACAAAAAAACCTTGGTTCAAATAATGTGAAGATATTAAGTACACTTTGATCTACAGGACATGGTTTTGTACTACTATCAAATACATGTTTATACATGGTAATGTCAGTGATGAATACTATGTTGTATGTTGATCTCATTTGATGAACCAATAAAAATTGTCAAATTAAAAAACAAAATGTAGCAGGAAATTGACACAATTCAGTGACACAATGACCAGGCTACAATTCCCTAACCCTCAGACTCCTCAGTCACAATGTCTTTTATTACAATCTCAAGGTCTTCTACACACGGTCATACCAGATCGTGGGTATTTTCTCCTTTCCTTATAATTCTCTTCCTCCATGCTTTCTACTACCACAGTCTCTCCTCTCTCTTTCTTTACTGGTTTTGCTTCTTCTTTTGCTTTCACACATTCTTCTTGCCCTCTGCATCCCCATACCTCACTACAGGGGAATTTGTTTGAAAATTTGGGCTCGTAATAAAGATCTCCCTGTGTACAAGTATTGTACATCTCAGGAATAGAAATTTTTAGCATAGATGCATAGATATACTTACTATTCATCCAACTGGTCCCTGTTGTTCAAACTTGTAGAAACCTTTAATTGTTAATGTAGTATTTATTATATTTAATTAACAATAATTTTAACACAAACTAAAAATACAAATCTGGTAGTCCAATTGAGTTTATTTTTTGTTTACTTTTAACAACTCCTGCTCAAGATTAACACGCAAAGTATGCTGGGACATATGCTCAATAATATAGTCATCGTTCTCTCTAATGGAGGAACAAACAGTCTTCACAGCATTAAGCACATGCTCTAAAAGCCGATGTAGAAATAATGAGTGTGTAGCACCAAACTGGGTTGCCATGGGGACCAGATATAATCCCACAAAGCAGTTTTATAGATACCTAATCCCAGTGTAGGCAACAATAAAATTGAATAGTACATTATGTATATAGCTATAGGTATATCAAAGGCTAGTTGTACAACTCATTAAACCAAGATCTGAAAAGTAGGCAGAATTGGGTTGCTATAGCAACCAGAAAGAAAGAGCGATCACATGGCAGGCATAGCTGCCTGCCCCCTGCTGGTGAAAAAAGATTTAAAAAATGTTAGTCAAACAATCAGAGTTAAAAAAAAAAAAATATATATATATATATATATATATATATATATATAACCCATAATGTGTATTTTTATATTGATAGTTATATATATATCAATATCAAAATACACTTATTATGGAGTTACATGTATATAGTATATACATACAGTAATTGTATATATTTTATATATATATATATAAATCAAATTAAAATCATTAAATAAATTACATAATAAAATTATTTTAAAAATTATATATATATATATATATATATATATATACACACACACAATTTAATTCTAAAAGTATTTTGATATTAATATATATATATTTATAAATATATGAAAATAAAAAATACACATATAAATAAATATAATTACATAAATAATTACAAAAATATACACATAGGATTTAAATAAATATATATGTATATATATTTAAATTCTATGTGTATATTTATGTAATCTTTTAACATAATTAAGTCATTTTATTAATCATAATTTGAGGGACCAGCCTGATAACCCATGTCCAGAGAATTAAGTGCTATGTTTATCCCTGTAATTTTCCAAAATACCATAAAACCTGGACATGGGGGGTATTATTGTACTTGGACGACTTCGCTGAACACAAATATGTGTGTTATAAAACAGTAAAAAACTTATCACGACAATGATATCACCAGTAAAAGTGCAGTTTTTGTCTAACAAATGCAAAAAACAAATATGAACACTAACTTTGGCCAGTGTTTGTGACTAAATGGCTACTAAAAACCACTGGACATACCCTATTTTGAATACCCTGGGTTGTCTACTTTTTCAAATGGTATGCCATGGTGTGGTTAATTGTCATTCCTGGGCTACCATACGGTCTCAAAGGCAACATAAGTCCAGCAAACCAATCTGCAAATTTCAATGGAAAAGGGAAAAGCCCTATATTTAACCTCTGTAAGTTTCCAAAAACTCATAAAACCTGTACATGAAGGGTACTGTGGTACTCGTGAGACATTGCGGAATACAAATGTGTATTTTATTGCAGTAAAGTTTCATAGTATTATGACATTCACAATTAAAATATCATGCAGAACTTGAAAAAACACATTTTCTTAATTTCTCTTTTTTTCGATTTTACTCACATTCAATTATGTTTCATATATAAATATGCAAAAGTGGGTAGGTACTAGCGCTTCTAAATTGAGTACAGTAAATAGATATTAACAATTTTATCAATTTAGCAGCTAAACATACAAGTGACTCCTTTCTGTTATCACCAACAATTACAATACAAAGAAGATGATGTAGCGCTCATACAATGGAATAATCACCTTATGGTAAAAGGTAAAAACAATTCTCAGGGGGAAAAGTCCACAGCAATTTTAGTGTCTTTAAATGTAAAATAGGGAAGATTTCCACGATATTGTCTACACCTGTAAGAATAATGTAATATAGTGTAGACAGTACAAGCATATAAATTAGGTGTGTAAAGAATATTTGTACCCTCACAAATGGAGAGCTGTATACCCAGCTCTGGTGTTAATTGCTTCTGGGTCTGTTTAGGCGACCCACCCCTGCCCTCGATGTATGTTCTTATCCTAGAGGGAAGTGGATAGGCACAAAATAGCTTAGTACAGTCTGTAATGTAGTTGTAAGATTGAAATGTCCCAAATGGGTACTTACAAACCAGGAGTCATCTCAGACTATGTGCAGGCGTGGTGTAGTAAGGGACTACACTCCCATAACAGCATAAGACCGGGAACCAGGTTGTCCAAAATGAAAATAAAATGTATTAAACAATTAAATAAAAAATAAGATACAATGTCCTCTTGTCACCGGGACGCGTTTCGCCACTACAGTGTGGCTTCTTCAACCGGAAAGTTCAAGTCTTAAAGTTCATAGCCGCATTAGTAGCAGAATAATAACGATTAAAGTTTGTCAAACCCATACCCTTACCAGTTCTGAGCTTTTGTAAAATAGCCAATTTAACCCTACTAGGTTTCTTATTCCATATGAACATCAGAAGGGCAGAATAAACCGTGCGTAAAAAAGGTATGGTTAGAGGAATTGCTCTTATAAAGGAGAGTCATTGTAACTGAATTAATTCTCTCAATATTGTCCCTAAGAGCAGGCCAGAGTGTAGCTAAGCTATAAGTATGCATCTCTGACAGGCTATTGCACAAATTAATGCCCAAGTAAGAAATATAAGATTATCCCCAGTCAAAGTAGCTTTTAAAGTATCAAATCTTGCCATGGGACAAAGACGGAAAGTGCCTGGGTTTTGCGAGTATTCAATTTGTAGTATGAAATGTTGCAAGATATACATTAGTGGTTCAATCGAGGATAAGGGATTCTTAAAAGATAACATGACGTCATCCGCAAAGAGGCCGATCTTATGTTCTCTGTCTCCAACGCAATGCTCTCTATATCTACACACTGACTAATTGCTTCAGCCAAAGGTTCCATTGCCAGCACAAAAAAGTGGCAACAATGGACACCCCTGTATGTATCCATTGGATAAAGTAAAACTGTCCGAAACAAAGCCAGTTGGATTACATTACAAAGCAAATACAGCCATGATGAAAGGATCTGGAATATTAAACAGCGACATAACCTCCCTCAAGAAACCCAAGTGAATTCTATCAAAACGAATTTTCTGCATCTAAAGATAAGAGCATCGAAGGCGTACGATTCAATTAAATTTGGTGAATAAGATTAATAAAGCATCTTATACTATCTGGGGCCTGATTGTTGAAAACAAACCCAACCTAGTCATAATCAATCAAAACGGGAATTTGAACAAGCCAATTATCCAATATTTTAGAGTAATGTTTTTTAACTTGTAAAGGATTTTATAACATTATATATTGATTTACACCAGCATTTGATAATAGCATAATAATTTGTTCTAGTTCAACATGTAGGGTTGGAATAAAGTAATATAAATAATTTATTGCCAAATTTGACATAGTGAGTGTGTCTCTTTGTAACGGTTTTCTCTTAGGGTAAACAGCAGTTATTTAATAAAACAAACAAAATATATTTCCTTGCAACAAGAGAAATATATATAGGTAATTTGGCGCTACTAATAAAGTAGAACAAAGCAACAACCCCCAAATGCCAAAAAAAAAATCACCAAAAAGCACTATAGAAATACATAAAAGTGAAAAAACAAGGAGGAGGGGGTGCAAAAGATAATACTGTGATATACTTATAATCAGTAAGTCTCTGGATCAGCCAAGAGCAGAAGGAAGGCTCCATAGACGAAACGTTGGGGTTATTCATTTCTCCTTCTCCTGGCTGATCCAGAGACTTACTGATTATAAGTATATCCCAGTATTATCTTTTGCACCCCCCTCCTCCTTGTTTTTTTCACTTTTAAGCAGTTACTTAATATTTCCTTTAGTATGAGCAAACCAAACTATGACTCTGGAATAGTGTACAGTACACGTTTTTGGACTTTGCTACATTTTAGCAATTGTATGCATTAATCAAAATGACAGACTTGGAATTTAAAGTGCATTTATTGAAAGTTTAGAAAAATAAAAACAATTTAAACAAATTTTTTAATTAAGTTAAATCTTACTGAGAAAAGCCAAAATCTAATAAACACAGCTTGAACTGTAAACATTATATCTGTATGAAACCTTGATTAATGTTCTATACATGTTCTATACCAGGGGTAGGCAGCTTTTGGCACTCCAGATGTTTTGGACTACAGCTCCCATAATTCTCTTATATCCATAATGCTGGCAAAGCACCAGGGGACATGTTGTCCACAACATCTGGAGTGGCAAAGATTGTCTACCCGGGTGTATACAATGCAAATATATTGGTATTCTGGATGGATGTATTCCTTGAGACTTACCTTTAAATGCTGAGGTTTTGTAGTTGTGTTCTATTGCTGAAACCATATCCTTCCAGAAATCATATTTCATCTGCCCATCAGTCTTTAAATGAAAAAAAAAAGTTAAACATTACAGGGATACAGATGGATTTTGGTAATTATTATTATTATTATATTATTTATATAGCGCTAGCAAATTCCGTAGCGCTGTACAATGGGTGCACTAACAGACACGTAATTGTAACCAGACAAATGGACGCTTACATGTTAGAGGGAGCGGGTATAGTGACACAAAGGGTATAAGTAGGGGTAATGAAATAGGTTGCTAGAAAAGTAATCACTGAGAACTTAGTAGGTTATTTTTGACATTTGTAGGAGAGGAGTCATGGGGGGGGGGAATAAAAACTCGCTGACGGTTTAAATAATATGGTTTTCTGAAGAAGTGTGTTTTCAAAGATTTTTTTGAAGAAGTGGAGACCAGGGGGAAAGTCTAATGGAGAAGGAAAGGGAGTTCAACAGAAAAGGTGCAGCCCTGGAGAAGTCTTGGATGCGAGCATCAGATGTGGGAGAACGGACAGAGGATAGGCGTAGGTCTTCAGCAGAGCGCAGGGGCCTCGTAAGCAAGCACCAGAATCTTAAATTAAGGGCTATATCTAACTGGAAGCCAATGTAGAGACTGACAGAGGGGGGGAGGCGTGGAAGGTGCAAGTAGACCGGAAAAGTAGCTTTGCCGCCGCATTCATTATAGATTGCAGCAGTGCAATCTATAATGAAAGCAGTGCAGTAAGACCACTGAGAAGGGGATTGTAGTAGTCAAGGCGGGAAAGAACAATGGCATGGAACAGCCATTGTTAATATTTAATATATTAACTTAATATTTTAGAGACAGTAATTTGGCTGTGCATTTTGTCTTCTAATTTTGTTTGATTCACAACTTTTACTTCACAGTTAAAGAAGGTGTTACAATATTGCAAATCAAAGTTTAAAAGGACAGAAATGTCTATTTCAACAATGATCAAAGCCAACAGACAGCTTACTGGTGCTCAAAGCCAGGGTTTGTGAGGACCTTGTGAGTTGTAGTTTAGGCTACAGCATATTAAATCTTAACATTTTGGTTTGTATGTGTTAGCACTTTTTCTTTTTTATATATATGCTTTAGTTTTTTGTCCACCCCGCATCTGGTGTTAAATAAGGGCGGATGCGAGCTATGTTTTTGAGGATTTGGCAATTGACTAGACATGAGGAGTGAAGGAGAGGTCGGAGTCAAAGAGAACACCTAGGCAGTAAGCCTGCGAGGTAGAGGGGATGGTGGCGTCGATGACTTGGAGGGAAACAGACACGGGAGTAGCAACACTTGAGTGAAGAAAGACCAGAAGTTCTGTTTTGGACAGGATGAGTTTAAGAAATGAGCAGCCATCCAGTTGGAAATCGCAGAGTGGCACTCAGAGACACGAGTCAAGATTGGCTGAGAGAGATCAGGAGAGGACAGGTAGATTTGCATGTCATCTGCATATAAATGATAATGGTGGCCAAAGGAGCAAATGAGTTTAGAGGAGGCAGTATAGATAGAGAACAGTAGGGTACCAAGGACAGAACCTTGAGAACGCCAACAGAGAGGGGTTGGAGAGAAGAGGCAGAGCCAGAGAAAGATACACTGAAAAAGCACTGTGAGAGGTAGGAGGAGCACCAGGAGAGAGCAGTATCCTGTAGACCGAGATTACAGAGAATGAGAAGAAGCTGTTGATGATCAACAGTTTCAAAGGCAGCAGAAAGATCAAGTAGAATTAAGATTTAGAAATGGCCGCGAGATTTAGCAGCGTTGGATACTTTGATCACAGCTGTTTTAACAAAGTGACGAGAGTGGAATACAAGCAGAGAGTTGGATTCGAGGAAGTTTGTCAAGCTTGCATACACAACTATCTCAAGGATCTTTGAGGCAAACGGCAGCAGCGATATAGGGCGGTAGTTGGGGTCAATGTTGGGCTCTTTCAGAATTTGCGTTAGGGTTGCATGCTTGAAGGGTGAAGGAAATGTGCCGGAGGAAAGGGATAGCTTGAAAATTTTTGTGAGAGGAAGAGCAAGAGAGGGAGACAGAGTGTGGATGAGATATGAGGATATAGGATCGAGGGAACAGGATCAATGGAACAGGTGGTGGGGCACAAGGACCGGAGCAGAGCAGAAACCTCTACCGTTGTTGTAGGTGTGAATGAGCATAGAACAGCAGAGGGAGTGGGGTTGGGTGATGTATTGGAAGGGGAGGGTGAGAGGTTAGAGATCTCTTCCCTGATTATAATCACATACAGAAAATGACACCTTTAAATAAAGAATGTCTATTGGCATCTTGATATCTGAAGTGTGCTTGTATGTAGTTAACAATAACTATTGATCTATGCATTTGCTATGTTCTGCACATATATAAAAATGAAAGGTTGTTTTTGAGATGTTCCATACTATTTTTTTTAGCCTCTACTTTACATGTAGTTTTAAAATATACCCCTAGATGGTGAACAATACAACTCCCAATGTTGTCCTGGAATTTAACCCTTTAAGGAACGCGGATGGTTAAGGACTGTCATCTGCATTTTCCCATTGCCGACCGCTGACGGTCCTGAACCGTCCAAACGGTCTTAGTTACTTACCTGATCGCCGTCGTTTCCCCGGCGGCGATCAGTGGTGCTCCCGGTGTGGGGAGACTGCCTGCAGCCCAGACAGTCTCCCCACATCGGATTAGGACCCCTGTGGCCATGTGAACCCTCAACACATGGTCATAATAGGTGTCCATGTGTCTGTCTGCAGGGGGACTGTCTGTGCGGACAGGCAGTCTCCCTGCTAGTGTAAAATAAAAAATAATATTAAAGGTTAATGTTAATAATAAAAAAAAAAATTATGTGTATATATATATAGATATATATATATATATAGATATATATATATGATATATATAGACATATATTATATTTATATGTCTATATATCATATATATAATGTCATACTAAGTGTATTTATATATTAATATGTACATATATTAATATAAAAATACACTTATAATTAAATTACACAGTATATATATGATATATATAATAACTATATATATTGTATATATATTATTATAAAATATAAATAATAAGTAATTTAAATTAAATGTAAAAATTTCAAAATAATAAAAATTTTAAAAAATTATATATCTATATGAAATTTTATTCTAACTGTATTTTGATATTAATATATATTTATATCAAAATACATTTAGAATGAATTTGTATATATATCTATGTATATATAAATAAATAAAAATAATATGAAATATACATATGTCCATATACAAAATTACATAAATAATAATATAAATATACACGTAGACTTCAAATATATAAATATGCATATATATTTAAATTCTACGTGCGTATTTATGTAATATTTTTACATAATTAAGTAATTTTATTGATTGCAATTTGAGGGACCTGCCTGCCAACCCAGGCCAAAAGTCCAGAGAATTTAATTTGCTAGCACTGTATTTTACCCTGTAACGTTCTACAACACCCTAAAACCTGTACATGGGGGGTACTGTTTTACTCGGGAGACTTCGCTGAACACAAATATTAGTGATTCAAAACAGTAAAACATATCACAGCAATGATATTGTCAGTGAAAGTGACATTCTTTGCATTTTTCACACACAAACAGCACTTTCACTGATGATATAATTGTTGTGATACATTTTCCAGTTTTTAAACACTAATATTTTGTTAAGTGAAGTCTCCCGAGTAAAACGGTACCCCCTACGTACAGGCTTTATAGCATTTTTGAAAGTTACAATATATGGGTAAAATATTTTTACATTGAAAATGGCCAGGTTGGTTATGTTGCCTTTGAGAGCGTATGGTAGCCCAGGAATGAGAATTACCCCCATGATGGCATACCATTTGCAAAAGAAGACAACCCAATGTATTGCAAATGGGGTATGTCCAGTCTTTTTTAGTAACCACTTAGTCACAAACACTGGCCAAAATTAGCGTTCAATTTAGTTTTTTACTTTTTTCACACACAAACAAATATGAATGCTAACTATGGCCAGTGTTTTCGACTAAGTGGCTGCTAAAAAAGACTGGACATACCCCATATTGAATACCCTGGGTTGTCTACTTTAAAAAAAAATATGTACATGTGGGGTGTTATTCAGAGATTTATGACAGATAATAGTGTTACAATGTCACTATTGATAATTTAAAAATGTATGTTTTGAAACCGCAATATCCTACTTGTACCTATAGCCCTATAACTTGCAAAAAAAGCAAATAAACACTGGGTATTTTTAAAATCAGGACAAAATTTTGAAACTATTTAGCAGTTTTTTTCATTCGCTTTTGTAGATGAGTAAAAGATTTTTCAAGTAAAAGTAAAAAAACATGTATTTTTTTCCATTTTTCATCATATTTGTTTTTAAATTAAATTACATGAGATTATATAAATAATGGTATGTAAAGAAAGCCCCTTTTGTAAAGAAAAAAACAATATATAATTTGTATGGGAACAGTAA